GCCCAAATATATAATATTCATTGGTCATGTCTGCTGCGTAACTATGATAAAAACTCCCATCTGTAAAATGAGAGTGAGAAATACAGGACAATCACTGACCCATTCACCCTATCCCATTCTATCAGGCAAGAAATACAAAGATATCCTACTCTTGCGTAAAGCTGTATTTCTTGGTTAGCTCATCTCTGTTTCTGGTAGTGTTCTGTGGGAGTAACTAACTTGTCTAAAACACTTTCTGACACATCTGAAGGGGTGTGCTTGAGGCTAAAGAACTTTTATAGTTTGCTGTTCCTGGTGCAAGTTTAGTGCCCAAAAGCTGCTTTAGGGTTCAATGACATTTCTACAGGCCAGGTTTGTGGTTTCATTAGTAACACAAACAACATCAACAACAATGCCCAGATGACTTCCAGTTGTTCTTTTCACCAGTAAATTTCTTGTGCAAGCCACCTCAGTCCTAAAATTTAGTCTAGAAATAATTCTTAATACTGGTATGTTTTATTTATTTGTTAGGTTCTAAATTTAGCTTATCCTCATCTCTGTCATCTGCATGGTGGATTACTTGAAGACATTGCTGAGTACAGAAAATGTGATGTTCTAATAGGTACTGGATGTTACTAATTTTTAAATTGTTCATTTGTACCTGTGACCAGGGTTGCTAGCTGTCCACCAAAGTTCTGTCTTCCCATTCCATTGGGAAATTTTCTTTTAAAACATTTTCTTTAAAAAAAAAATTTCTTTTAAAATTTTCTTTTAAAAAAGAAAAATGTAGTCCCTGGCTAGGCAGGGACTACATTTCTCCCACCTTTTGGTCTCTGTAGGACCATGTGGCAAGTTCATACCAATAGAAAATGAGTGAAAGTAATATGTGTCACTTCCAGCCTGAGATCGTTAGGACTAGAGTGTGCCTTCTCCACACTTCCTCCCTCCATCTAGCAGCTGCAAGCCCAGTGTCCTGGATGCCCTTGGAATCCAAGTGCTGAAGGAGGCAAAAGCTCTGCCAGCTTTAAGACTCTGCATAACTGCCTGGAGCACAATCTATCCATGCACTACCACTCTCCACACCGTGCACAACTTAGCCTGTTATTTGAGTTAGAAGTACTTTACTATACTAAGATACCAAAGATTTCAGATTTTTCATTAAGGCATTTGTGCCACCCTGGCTAACATAGAATCTTGTTCCTGTATTTTGAGTATTTTCCAGGTTAAAAGTTGTATTCGGGAGCAGATAACTCAAAATCTGAAAAGCCAGCTATTCACTTTCCTAGATTTTTTGGCACCTTGGTGTGGGTATAATCCACATTCTTCTAATGACAGTTATCTACCCTGAACTTGGTTATTGGAGCCATGGTGCAAATTAGGGACTGTGGAGAATCCATTCTGGGATGATAGTAACTGAGCAACATTGAAACTTATGAAAATTGTGTGAGCTATGCAGTACACATTTAGTGAAATAATTTGGGCTTGAAAATAGTCCCAATTGATTATCTTGGCTTGCAGTTCAGAGCCATGACTAATATTCTATAGGAGATGATTGAGACAAACGGAAAATAATGGTCCACCAATTAGATCTAGGCAAAGGACCAGGAGTGACTTTTAATGGCATTGTTGAGTATATGAAATTTACTTTTTAAAATTATCCTGAGACTAAGACTGTGAAGTTTTTAGAATTGAAAAAATACACTTGAACTTTTTAATTGGGAAATGCAATTAGCTGTCATTTGACGTTTCTACCAAGAGAATCAGTACTCAATGCATCATTATTTGCTTTATTCTTTCCTAGCAGCTGAAATAAAAAAAAAATGGGTACTTTGCTATTATTTTTAGACCATATTAACCAGAAAAGTCACTAAAATCTGCATACTTTCTCAAGAATATTTTCCTATTACATATATTAGTATTCTGAGTTAATGTACAAGTAAATACCTGCTTAAATCAACAATTTGATAACACACATAACACATCCTATGTATAAGGTGAAGTAAATGGTAGACCAGTAGATTTAGTAAAGGACACACTAACGGTTCATTTTTGATTAGGGGAAAACATTCCTGTAAATCATTGTTATCACCTTTAATGATGACATTCAAAAAGGAGATGTCTACATTGTGAACTGTCATTTTCTGTTCTCTCTTCTGCTGTCCCCAAATCTTCCTAGAACAGTAAAAAGTCATCTAAACTGAGCAGCATTTCACTTTTTACAGGAATTTTGGAAGCTCTCTTTCCCTCTCTAAACATGCAGTTTTCACTGTGCATAGTTTTGAAACTGATTATTTCAGGGAATTACAATGTATGGTTATTAGCTTTTTTACTCTTTGATCTTTCATAATTCTGAGTGTATATAAGGAATGAACTATTTAAATGACATGATGGGATTTTACAAGGGAATGAGTAATATCACAGAAGAAGTTATGTTGTTCAATTTTACCATAACATTAATATCTTAATTTGGTTTAATCAAGGGCTACTACCTAAGAGTAAATATCTCAGAAAACTTCTAAGAGAAGATTATTAATATTTTAAAATATAAACCACCGAAGGTTATAAATAGTATTAAAATGTAATAGCCTGGCTCATACTGTAAAAGATAGCCTTTTAACTTTTTTTCTTTCCTTAAAGATATACATTTTATTGAACATAGTAATATATATCACAGTTAATTTCAATTAGCAATGGTAGTGACAACAGAAATCCTAGATGAATGTGATTGGCAAACAATTCAAAAATCTAATTGAATCATAACTTTCAAATTCCAATTTCTTTAAGTTGTTTATCAGATTCATTGCACACCACTTTTAACTCAGGATTGCTGCTGTCATATTGGCAGTGGTAACTAATCACTTCTTTCATCTACCCCATACGTTTGTGTCAGTCTTGGTTCAATCAGGAGACAGAAAAAATATAATATCTTGAACAGGGAAAGTCTATTTGTTAATAAAAAATTATCTACAATGGGGATTGGAGTAATAAGGGATTGGCTAAAAGTACAGACAACTCTAAAGGATTTATGAGTATCAGATATAATATTACATAATCTAATATGTAATAGCAACTGCCTCTAGGGTTGAGGTAGAGTGCCCAAGGCAGAGCTCCTAATCCCCCAGTTCCCAGGCTGAGGTTCACACCTTGTAGAGGCCATGGTCATGGCCCACCAAGGTGGAGAAGTCACTGTGATGTCACACTGATAGGATTTGCTGCAAATTTACCCTGTGAGGTTCCAGGTCTTTCCTTGTAAGCTCTCCTCTACAAAAATACCTGGGGCAGGGGGTGGGGCTGGAGGGGTACAGGTGACAGAATTAGAGCCTGAGCCTGGTGAAGCTGGCCATGTTGCAGGAGTGGGCAATTTGGGCAAACTCCAACACTGTAGGAGCTGAGCTCTGGAGAATATACAGACAGTGCAGGAGACAGACACCAGACAGCAGCACATGCTACAAGAGCCTGTGGGCAAACAAACCAAAACAAGGAAGCAAAATCCTTTTTCTCACTCAGTGTCTGTTTTGCATCATTTTCAGGCAAGCCTTGAAAATGTGCCATCTGATAAAGGAAAAGTATTTAAAAGGCTCCGATCCATTTTCATAGGGCAAGGTAGAAGGGTGCATTTGGAGTTGAGCGGCAGTAGATGTATTATCAGCATAACATGGTACGGAAAGAAGGATACAATTTCTATAAAGTTTTAGGTATTGCTAAGACCCCATCTTGGAGAGTCAGATATTATAGAGGGATAACGAAAGTGAACTGATGTATGTATCAGCATGCTTGTTACTTAATTCTAGCACTACCACACACACACACACAAAGGATTATTTTACATCGCAGACTCTCACTTTCTGCAAGTGCAAATTGAACAAATTTCAGTAAGCTCACCATTTCAGTTACACTGACTGTGTCAATGGTGGTTGGAAGAGTGCTGTATTTAAACTTGCTATTTTATGTAAATATGATTAGTCATTTAAAATGAATAAATCATTTTTTAATATAGCTACTAATAAGAAAAAAATTTCACAGTCCAGGAGGAGTTTAGTTGTATATAGTTTCTGACGTATCCTAATTGGCCAAATTATCTTGTTGGCTAATAAACCTGACTCTGAGTAAAGTTCTTCATAATTTCCATAGTTCCTCAGAAAAACGAAATTGATTGGGGAACATAAGTCATATGAATTAGGCATTTACCCAAGAGTCATATGTTTAAACATATTCAAGGACAGGGACTTCTTTAGCATGAAATTATCATCCAATTCATCAGCATTTATTTTTTTCATTAGGTCTAAGGTATGCGTGCATGTAAAGTTTTGTAAAGCATTTTAATTAAAGCATGTATCAATTTAATTAGAATAGATCTAAATTAATTGCATTTAAAAATCAATACAATTAGATGAAGTTTTTTCTGATTATTGCAAAATGATAAAGGCTGTGAAAGTCATACAAGATTGTTGAATCTGCGCTTGAATTACTTCGTATCATTACAATAAATTTAAAGAAAACAGCTTTCTATGGAGTTAATTACAGCTGACCTTTTCGTTATCATTTTAACATGGACTGGGTAAAATTCTATTACATAAAAACTCAAGAAAAACAGTTGTCTTATATAGACCAAGAGAATATGGCATTGAATGAAAATATAGGGAGAAAATAATTGAAAGCACAATTTTCATTAGTGGCACATAAGTTTGCTGTTAGAGAGAAAAAAGTTATAACCTCTGGACACCTACTAAAACATATTAAGCTAGCACCCAAAAAAAACTGTACGTGTAAATTTATTTTTGAAATAACATGTAAAAAGAGAATTGACTATCATTGGCTTCCTTCTTGTACTGCTGTGGTGTTTTCCATGTTAAAGCAATATATTATGAGGGCTTAAAAATGACATCTCCCATTTGAACATTGAAGTACGTAAGTGAACTTACGTATCTATTGCATTTTGTGATTTTTAAAAAAGTTTCATTATTTTTAGAGCATGTCTAATATTTTGATTTAATATCTCTCTCTTTTTTTTTTTTTTTTAGCTTCACCATGGGTTGATAATAGTAGAACTCCAAACAAGATTGACCTTTATGATGTACGCAGAAGACCATGGTAAGAATTTTTAGCTAGCCATGAAAAGATTATATAGGCAAGAAGATATATATTTGCTAAAAAGTCGAAATCTTTTTATTATTAGGATGAGTATTAACTACTTATTGAAAGTGATCTGATTTTTAAAAATAAGTAAATATAGGTAAAGGTAAATGAAAATGATGAGTTCAAGTGGGTACTGCTAATTAATATAGTTGAACCCACTTATCACATTCATTTCAAATGGACTGCTTTAAGTTTTATATTTAATCTCAGTGCTTTACCTCTTAGCTGGTAGGGATTTCTATGGCAGGGATCCCAGTTTGCTTGGAGTAGAGCTCCAACAGAGATGAGATAGAGTAGGAGATAATTTGCCTCTGGCAGTGAACTAATGAGAATTGGCCCCAAGGTAAAAGCTGCCCCTAGTTATATTCATATAGCTTAGATTTGATTTTTTTTCCAATATGAAGTTTTATTTGTTCCTCACTACTGAAGGAACTTGTTCTCCTAACATAAAGCTGGAAGAATACCAATAATTTGTTATTGGACTTACTGGAAAACAACTATTTTTGGGTTTTTTAAAAATGATTAATTGTACCTTATTGCTTTTTAAAAATGTATTCAATGTGCAAATATTAAGAAATGAGTTCACATATACAGTATAGTGCTTTGTATCCCACACTTTTCGTATCAATAACATTTGAGTACATATGCATGAGAAAAGACACATACCATCATTTGGATGAAGACTGTATGGTAACTTATTCACGAAATCTTCTATTATTGGACATTTAAGTTATTTCTGACTTTTTTCCTTGGGTTCAGACAAATTGCAAGAGCATAAAGTTTGATTCCAAAGACATGTATTTAGAGGCTTTTAGATGCCCTTTTAAATATCCCAGTAGCAATTTATGTCAACACCAACCATGTTTAATAGTGACAATTATTATTAATTTACATATTCTTCCTGTGGAGCCATAGGGCTGTTGAGTGGAGCTAAAAACTAATATATCATCTTGTTTGAATTCAGGAATTGGTTGTTTTGGAGGAGACTTAGAAAGTGGGTGCCAATCAGTAGAGGCAGACATGACCTGTCTTCTCCTCTTCCCATTGACCAGCACTAAGATACTAGGCATCAGCCAGGTTTGCCATCCACGAAAATTCACCTGCAACTCTGCCACTTTACCTTCTTATCAAGCAAGGGTGCAGGTTATAAACTCCAACTGCTTCCTCAACACATAGAACTAATTGTGCTCTATGTTGTCTGAAAACTAACTGGAAAGTTAACTGGCAACCTCCTGAGAACTAACATTTACAGTGATGGCTTCAGGGATGAGTAAAAAATTGAGGCCAGGTGCAGCCCTTCCTGTTGGAGAAGTCAAGCCCCATTCCAGTAGGTGGCCAGGCAATGTGAGTGAGCTTTTTGGGTCAGTCATACACAGTCAAGTTGATCTCTCTCCACAACCACTGAACCATCTGTATAAATCTCTTCTAGAGTCTCTTTAAAATGCTGAGATTCTGATTCCACAGGGTTGAATTTGGAAATTAATATTCTGAACTGATACCCCAGGTGATTCTTAAACACTGTAAAGTTTGAGAGCCTTTGAAATTCTTGGTAATAACATCACATATTGCCTAATTTTAATCTCTTTATTGGCCACTTATATTTCTTTTCTGTTGATACTGCTTTTTAATGTTCCTAAACAACTTATCTGGTTTTTTGTGCTTATTTTTTTACATTTAAAAATATGACAATCTATTATTCATTAAAGTGACTTTTAAACCTTTAATTGGTCAACAATTGGAGTTTAGATAATTGTTTTCCCAGGAAAAATGTTCTTCTCAAAGTTAAAATATAATTCTTCATCTTTTGTTATAAATATCGAAAAATGTTAAATATTATGCTTCTGACATCTCTATTGTTATATTGAATATTGCTTTTATCAAACTGACATTGAAGAATATGAAAAGAAAACCATTGTCTGCTTAGATAGAAATGGGTCTTTGCTTGGGGGAAAAAACCTTGTCTCAGAGATCAGTAAATATCAATTCAACAAATATCAGTGTTTGATATTTTGAAAGGGAAAAGCATTTATTATGATATTTGTTTCAGGTACATCCAAGGAGCTGCATCTCCTAAAGACATGCTTATTCTTGTGGATGTGTGAGTAGTTAAATACCACATTTTTATATATTGAGAATATGGGAGGATTTGTAGATAACAGTAGTAGGTTGGGACTAAGAAATGTTTGATAGGTTAAAAAAGAAACAAAGAAAAATTATGATGACTTTTATATTCAGGCAATGAACCCATATCAGGATAATAACAATACAAATTATTTAATTGAAAATGAAGAGAATCTATATGGGTATTAATATATTAATATTATATATAATATTAAAAATGAAATATATTAAATAAGTTAATATTGGAACTTGGTTGGGCATGGTAGCTTCACACCTGTAGTTCCAGCTACTTGGGAGGCTAAGGTGGGAGGACTGCTTGAGCCCAGGAGATCAAAGCTGCAGTGAACCATATTCCTGCCACTGTATTCCAGCCTGGGTGGCAGAGACAATGTCTCAGGAAAAAAAAAAAAAAAAAAAAAAAAATCTGGGACTTCTAAAAGTGAAATGGTGATATACAAGAAAGAATTCCTTGAGTTTTTATATTGGTCTGTTTATTTGTTATAGTGCTTCAATCCAAGATATATGTGTATGTTTGAATGTGTACACATTTTCTAATAAGGTTGAAGATGCAGAAATTGAAAAGATTATATCCTGCTATGGAGATTTACTTTTTTAAAGAGCAATAATCAAGGAATTAAACACTAAGTGTACAATGCTTAGGTTACTCATGTTTTTCCCCAAGAGAAAAAAATGCTCATGTTTTTCCCTGAGAGAAAAAAAAAAAAAAATTATTTGTCTCATTGGAAGAAACAAAATCTAGTAATTTGGGGACAGCTAAATCCCACAGGCAAGTATTAACATTTGAATTTTCCCCATTTTAAACTGAAGTAAAACAATTTAATTTAGTTGTCCAAACTCTTATAACCCAGCCTGAAAAAGAGAAGATAAATGAATTCAACAAATGTGATTTTAATGTTAATTCTTATTTTGTTAAGATGCATTTAAACCTCATGTTACTTTAATTAAATTATGGATCTTATATGCTAATCCTTGATCATCTTCTTAAGTAAAATCAATATATTAATGCAATATATTATAATCCCATTGGATGTATAATAATGTCCAGAAATAATGTCATTTCAAAATAGAAGCCAAATTTCTATCCTAAAATTGAAAATATATATGAAATTGAAATACTGTTTTTAAAAATATTTCAACAGAAATGTATTGAGGTGTTCTTACATACAGTGTAGTAACATAGAAGCAAAGATGATTAAGACATAGTTCCTGAGACCAGATGTTGTTACTCATGCCTGTGATCCCATCACTTGGGAGGCTGAGGCAGGTGGATGGCTTAAGCCCAGGAGTCTGAGACCAGCTTGAGCAATAAATCAATATCTCATTTCTACAACAAATACAAAAGAAAAACAAGCTGGGCATGGTGGCACACATCTGTAATTCCAGCTACATTTAGGAGGCTGAAGTGGGAGGATGCCTGAGGCCAGGAGATGGGGGCTGCAGTGAGTCGTGTTCATGCCCTGCACTCCAGCCTGGGCAACAGAGCAAGAGCTTGTCTCAAAAAAAAAAAAAAAAAAAGACATAGTACCTGATCTCAAAGATAATCCAAATGTATTAGGTAAACTGGACCTTAACAAATAAAAATAATTGTAGAAATTAATAGATATAAAGTATGACATAGCACTAAAGGAATCCGTAAGAGATAGCAACTTGATTTAATGTGTCAGGAAAGCATTAAGGAGATAAAATTGGGATTGACTCCTCATGGCTCATATTTTCAAACGCAAGCATGGGAGGGGAGAGGAAAGGGAGTGGAATTTCAGGTGGAAGAACTGCCAGAAGTGAAGCTGCACAGGTAAGTCTGGGGACATTTATGGAGGAGGTAGAGGATTGAAAATGCCTTTGCAAAATTATGACAGTGAGACAAATCTGACATGGTTGACTCTAGTTTCTAGCTTCACAGGCTGATTGGCTACTCATTCCTGGGTGTGGGCCAAGATAACTTTGGAAGAAATTTAGTTTATAGTTTAAATGATAATAGCCCTTACCTAAAATGAAACTGCCCTTATAAAACCAATGAAAGGCTACCAAATTAGAAGGATGAGAGAAACCTGAATTCTACTAAGATGTAGATGTAGTTAAATAATTACTAGCCATTATTCTGGACATCACAAGATTTGCAACTTCCCCAATTATTCCTGTAAATAACATCACTATTACAGAATCTCAGGTGGTGCTTTTGAGATATCTTTTGAGGCTTTTGCGTTTCTAGCAGATGGTCCCACAGGGACCTGTGACTCAATCAGTCCTGTGCCCCCCACCCAAAAGTAGACTCGGCACATGTGGGCCATTTTCCACACCCCTGTGATTTCATCTTCAATCAATTAGTAACACTCATATTCTAGCCCCCTGCCCACCAAACTGTCTGAAAAATTCCTAACCTCCCTCTGAGCCTTTGATGAGATTGATTTGAGTAATAACACCATCTCCTGTCTGGCATGGCTGGCCCCGCATCAGGTAAACTCTTTCTTTACTGCAATGTCATGTTCTTTGTTAGTGCAGCGGGCAGGAAGAACCTGTGGTGGTTACAGGAAGGAGAGAGAGAAAATGCCAAAATGAAAGGACTGGAATACAGGGCTATTGAGATTACTGGCTATTATGCGGTGTCTAGGAGCTGTTAAAAGTATTAGGTCAGGATGTGTTTCCAGAACTTTCACCTGTTAGCATGTGAAGGAGACTAATTGCTGGGTTGAGTGGCTATTACTCTAGCTCAGCACCTTCATATAATGAAGACTGAGCCAGAGAGGAGTGAGGGTGGAGCGGGGACCAAAGCCTTGGAACACTGTTACATGGAATGAATAAGGGAGTTTGCCTGAATGCATAGGAAGGTTGAGAGGGAAGAACAAATTGGATGACTGAGACATAGACTCTTTGGTACCAAGAACATAAAGAGGAATGAAAAATACATTTGGACGTAATTTGTCATTTTGGACATTCAGTTGTAGTGGTTCAGCAGGCAGCTCGAAGGATAAAACCAGGAAAGTGTTGGGAGCTAGAAATGTAGAAGTAGGGGTTAGTCGCCTAGAGTTGAGCCAGCCCTGCACGTAGGTGAAGTCACCAAGTATTGTAGAATATGTATAGAAAAGAAAAATGAAGAATAAATTCTAGAGGATGTTTACTTTAGGATGCAGAACAAAGCATTTTCTTTGCAAATCTGTTATCACAATTGTTATGTGGATTTATAATTACTGTTTTAATTAAGTCAAACAGTGGGCTCCCTGGAGCAATGACTATGTCTATTAATCTCTCTACTCCTCTCTTCTAACTTGGCTAACAGAACTGGTATTTAATACATGTTTCTGAATGGCTGACTATACCATCAGTATCCACATTTTTTTTGAATTGTCACTTACCATGTAATTGTGATAATTTCAGTTAGAAATGCACATGTACTGATATTGGGAGGAAAGAAAGGCAGAATTTCTTATAATTTCCACTTCTATCAAAAAATGTGACTTTTTACACCAAGATTTTCAAGGGCAAAATTATTATTTAAATAATATATAAAAGATCTAGCGTCAGTACATACATTATCTTTCCTTATGATGTTCTTGATTAAATAAATGATGAATAACATATATGGACCCATTTGTCTATTTATAGGAGTGGAAGTGTTAGTGGATTGACACTTAAACTGATCCGAACATCTGTCTCCGAAATGTTAGAAACCCTCTCAGATGATGATTTCGTGAATGTAGCTTCAGTAAGTATAAGATGACTGCATTTTCCTGAATTAAATTTGGAATTTCTATCTTCTCCTGACTTTAGGTACTTGATGGAGGCTGAGACATTTCTGATATATTGCAAGACTATCTTATTGACCTGTCCTATCTTAATGACTGATCCTCTTATAATTCTATGCCAGGATCCTTTTTGAGTTTCTAAGAATTTACCCCTGGGTAAAGTAATTGAAGTAATGACTGTAAAAAAAAAAAAAAAAAAAAAAAAAGAAGCTTTCCACATTTCCTGCTTCACTCAGAGGAGCTTAAGTAGATGTCCTTTACACACAGACACCATTGAAACTCCTAGAAAAGAGCAACTTGGCAGTATGATTATATGGCAGTTTTCTATTCATTATCATCCTCATTTCACCTTGGACACATATCTATAATGTATCGTGTTTTTATAGTATGTTTTTCTTGTTAACATAAAAACCAATAGATATTTGAATGTGCTCTCATTAAAGTCTTCTCAGAACCATCATAGACCCTCCTACTCATAGCTAGAAAGTACTGAACTGTGAAGCAAATGAAATAAGACAAACAAATGTTACCATGTCTCATTTTAATTCATAGAATTCATGCAAAATATTTCATGGCCATTTTCTGGAGGATGTATTTACATTTGAGGTAAATATATTCATAGAGATGTGAAGAGGAGGAGTTTGTGGTAAGGTTATTTTGTATTGAAAATGGATCTGTCTCTGAAATGACTTGGGAGGAAGAAGTTAAAGCAGCTGGTCTGAAATTGATTTACTCACTAAGGGGAACTAGAAATACGAAAGCAGGAGACCTTGTTTAATCCTCTTTCACCTGAAGCTCCAGGTAACTAGATTATTGATATTTACTAAGAGGAAGAGAATTTACCCCTGAAATGTTTTTGGTGGTATATTGCAGCCTAAGAGTAGGTATGGTAAAACATGATACCTATGAGGCAAGGTTCTTGGCAAAACTCTCTCACAGGTGATAGAATTCTCTGGGGAATAAACTGGAAGTATTCTATAGTACAAGGAGCCCTGCGAAACTCTTTTTGTGATTTCCCTTCATGTGTGCAAGAAGAATGTGTTCCACACAGGAAGGAGGAGCTGGGAAGCCCTCCTTCGTGTGAGGCCTCTATCTACTTCATCTGAACCTTCAGAAGTCCCTTAGCTTGTCTGTATTCTCCACATTATTTACTAAAACTTGATACTGCGTAAGATCTCTGATTCATTTAAGTCTGATTTTACAATCTCTCTGACCCTGTGTCAGCTCACTATGTATTCCAACAGAATACAAACAAGTAAAATGTAATACTTGATCTCTCAAATAAGATTATCAGAAAAGATACTTATTTGGCTTTATTTGTATATAAACATATAGTTCATAACAAACCATGGGGATAGTTCTTAAAAAAAATACTATTTATGGCATAGTAAAAGAGAAAGTCTTAAATTCAGCACAGATTTGACATGTCTAGGTGAAATTTATATAAAAGTAGCAGATATTCAGTGTGGTGAATGTCTTATTCAGACTTCGAGAAGCTGACCTTCACTTGTAGATTCAAATATAAATAGTGTATTTGGGTGGTGATCACAGAAAACACTACTACTTAAGTCAGGCAGTGGATGGAAGGAAACAATGACAGAATCTTACTTTAATTTAAAGGAACTTAATTCTCTGAGGAATTCTGGAAGCCATATGTAATATTCACTTCAGAGTTAACCTGCCCTAAATCCAAAGGAGCTGAGGTTTTAGGTAGCCGACTTCCCTATGTGTGGGAAAAACAGACTGGCCACAAGAGGGAGTACTGAAACAAAAAGTTGTAGGTGCTGGTAGTTAGAAGCCTGGTCCAGGATCCAATCTGTCCAGTCAGTGATTTTTTTTTTTTTTTTTTGAGACGGAGTCTGGCTCTGTCGCCCAGGCTGGAGGCACTGGCCGGATCTCAGCTCACTGCAAGCTCCGCCTCCCGGGTTCACGCCATTCTCCCGCCTCAGCCTCCCGAGTAGCTGGGACCACAGGCGCCCGCCACCTCGCCCGGCTAATTTTTTGTATTTTTTAGTAGAAACGGGGTTTTACCGTGTTAGCCAGCATGGTCTCGATCTCCTGACCTCGTGATCCGCCCATCTCGGCCTCCCAAAGTGCTGGGATTACAGGCTTGAGCCACCGCGCCCGGCCCAGTCAGTGATTCTTAAAGATGGAGACTGGTCACAATCTTTAAATAAACAAACATGGAACATCAGGATGGTGGGCTTCTAGAGTTAGAACCAAGGATATACTTCATACTCATCTTTTCTTTTCTCTAATACCTTTCCTAATTTCCCTGCAGCCTTGGCCAACTCCTGTGCTGGTGGCTTACCTGTTAGGACGAACCAGACTCTTACCCCTGGGCCCTATGAATCCATGGCTTCTGTCCCCTTTCAAATGGTGGTTTCTGCAGTTGTCCATTCACAGTTATCTCCAACCACAGATATGCTTGAACGAATCCTGAGTTCCCTCTCACTATTATATAGCAGCAGCCCTCGTGATATTCCTCTTGTCAACTGGAACCCTGCCAGTAGCATCACTTTTTTTTTTTTTTTTCTTGTACGTCTACTGGCATGAGAATTGCAGCATATTCAGATAGTAGCTATAGATTTAGGTTTAGTTAAATTCTTTCTGGGACCCTGGTAGGAGCACTGCATTACCTGCCCATTTACCCCAACACATATACACTTGGAAAGCAGAACATTTATTTCAGTGGAGCCTGAAGTCTCAGTGACAAGAAGTACACCTTTTCCAAGTGGATCACTTTTAATTATAGTAAGAGGGGATTTTCCTAGTTCATTCCCTTGGTTTTCATACTCATACATTCTACATTTTAGGGGCAAAGCCAGGGGGTGCAGGAGAAAATTGATATGTAGCATTTGCCATTTTTCATGATGTAAATATTCCCACTATGACCAATTTTAAGCTACCAATGTGAGGTTAACTGGCTTTTACATTTCATGAAAATTTCAACCGTTTTTTTTTTTTTTATTAGCAGTTACAAACTGGCTTCAGCACATAGCACTGTGGTTCAAAATACATATTGCATCTTGAAGACAACATCCCAAATCAGATCGTCATCTGTAAGCTGGAACCTTAGTTGTACCTTGAGAGGAGACTGTCCCAATGTTATCAGGCTGGCAGCCTCTAGTGATGTAACATATGGTAGACCCTGTGAGTCCTGTGGTCATGTGCTTATTATTGGACTCCCTTTACTATAACATGTGTTGCTTAGTTTGAGATGTTATTCAGTATCCCACGATAAATCAGGCAGTATTTGTGAACCTGAGGATTAGTGATACTTAATGACACCCCCTCTGTGAACAAGAACGGGGAACCCATAACTGGAATTTGTATCCATAATAGAAAAAACAAATTTTACCCCTTCTCCAAGGGGGTAAAATGCTGGTTGCTTTCTTTAAGAAGTAGTACTATACTGAAGACTCGTCATCGCACTATTCTCATGGGTTGGTTATTTACCAGTGGCATCAAACTGAATGAGAGAGACCCATGATTTTAGGCCCCTGTATATCCTCCCTCTCTATTATCCAGCTCCTCCATTCATGGGCCTATTTTGCAAGCAGTACAGTTGTCACATACAGAGCTGATGATCTCCAGTGGACAGATCTTCTTATCTACCCAATTGTTTAGTGTCTTTTCTGTGATGAATGTTCTCTAACTAACATTAATGCAAAACAAAGACATCTTTATGCTTCATGCCTGCTTCCATAGGTCCATCTTCATGTTGCTTCTCCAAAACTCTGTATAAGGAACATCTTCTAATCTTGATCCTTTTAGGACTTTGGCCAACCAGCCATGCCATTTATAACTGTATAGGAGTACATGAGTTTTCTAATTGTAGGTTACTTATTTTCCACAACAATATTGATGACCAGTTGTATTTTGCTTCAATATCCCTAAACATCCATTCCCTGGCATATTATCTCAGTATCTTCTGGTTCATATTAGGCAGATCCTGAAACTTTTTTGTCAAATATCTTCTTTTTTGTTTTCCTGGAGTAGAGACTGTACTTTTCAACGTGGGCCATGTTGATACTTGGACTTTTTGTTGCCTAAAGCCATTAGATGAGATATGATCAGATCATGAGGAGAGTATGCATCATCTTTTATGGTCTCTAGGAACACAGAAGCTACTACCCTCTAACTAAGGGTCACAGGTTACTTTTGCCTATCCAGAGGGTATAGGGGAATCCAGAATTTTATCTTCTCAAGTGCATCCACTTAGATGTCCTCATCCTAGTACAAAGGGTGCCTCTCTTTGCCTATTGATGTTCTGACTTTTGCACAGAAAGCTGCCAAGGTTATGAATGCAGCGTATTTTGTAATTCTGAGATTCTCAAAAGAAAATTCTGAGCCAAATTTCTAGCACGTACTGACCTTCCCAAAATGGGAAATGAGAATCTTTTAATTAGTTGCCACATAGGTTTTCTGGCTTTCTTACGTTGCCCTTAGTTGATAGTTGGCTGACATAAGGCTATCATTTTCTTCAGTGAAATTCAACAACCAGCCAACTCATTGTTTTATGATTACTATTGTCCCCATCTCTCTCAAACACTAGGTGCATCCCCATTAATCTGTATTTTATTCTGATCGCTGCAGATGAAAATCTTAGCAATTGTGTTGCCACAGCATCTGAGGAGTTTTCTGACTTCAGTGATGACTGTACACCCAGGTACCAATAGGATCTTTGTTGCCATATGTTTAGGAAATGATTCAATTCTGGAATCCCATTCTGAGGGTCTGCTTACTAAGAACACTGGTGGTATCTGCTTAGATTGAGTTTCCCCAGAATAGTCACTGAGACAAGAAATCAAGCTTAAATGGTTTATTTGGAAAGTAACTCTAGGAAAGACTGTTAGAGAACTGTGGGAATTAAAACAAGGCAGAGAATTAATAAATAATTCGTCTTCAAACAAGTTTCCATTGTGAGTGAGCAGAGCTTATTTCTCTGGAAATGAGT